TGATTGGCTATCAGTACAGTCTCAAAATTACGCAAATTATTACAAATTTGGAAGAAAAATGTTTTTAAAAAAGTCTTCTGTCATAAAATCCTTGCAGAAGTCTCCATCTGAGACAAAAAGAATTGTGAAGGTTTTGTCAAGACACAAGACAAGTGGATTTAGCAGTCCAATCACAAACTTGTCAGTTGAAATTTGCTGATAGAGACAGAGGTAGAAAACAAGTATTAAAATCCATCTGTTCCTTAATATTTCATTAGGCTTTACAGCATACCAAGTGGCCCAGCAAAACTAAGTGGACCTAAGAGTCTTTGATGAAAACAAGACTATATCTGAATTGTGAATTCTGTTTGTAAAGGCACTAATGGACAACTTCCCTGCCAACATACCAAAAATCCTTCTGGAATACTGTCCCATCAATCCTGGTGATGGTTAATTTTAATTGTCAGTTTGATACAATCTAGAATCAACTGGGAAGGGAAGTCTCAATGAGGAAGTGTCTAGATTAGGTTGTCCTGTGGGCATGTCTTTGGGAAATTATCTTAATTACATGAATGAATGTGGGAAGACCCATCCACTTGGGGTGACACCCTTTACTGGGCTTGTGATACTGGACTGGCTGAAAAGAAGAAAGCTGTCTGGGCTCTCTATTCTTACCAGGTCTCTCAAGCTCCTGCCACTGTGACTTCCCCACAAGATAGACTGTGACCTGGTTTCTCCCTAAGTTGCTTTTGTCAGGGTATTTTACTACAGCAATAAGAAACAAAATGAAAACATCTAAGAACCAGTTAGAAAAACTCACATAGTATCCAGTACACTGAAATAGACATCTCTACTTTTTATAATTCTTTGCATTTCTTTAGTTTTAAAAGTGAAACCCTGTGAATTCGTAGTTTCAATCACCTAATGTATTGATTTTATGAAGTTTGCAGCAGTTCCTAATGCAAAGGCAACCTCACATTGTAGTCAAACAACTGCAAGTCTATTCTGGCCTTAATTTGCCCCCTCACTTTCTACCCTCCTATCCCCAACCTGCATTTCTATTTCCTTCTGGCCTAAGGCATTACACGCTTTAAACCCTGTGAATTCGTAGTTTCAATCACCTAATGTATTGATTTTATGAAGTTTGCAGCAGTTCCTAATGCAAAGGCAACCTCACATTGTAGTCAAACAACTGCAAGTCTATTCTGGCCTTAATTTGCCCCCTCACTTTCTACCCTCCTATCCCCAACCTGCATTTCTATTTCCTTCTGGCCTAAGGCATTACACGCTTTCT